GAGCCATATCCCTAACCCTTCCATTTCTACTCTTCTGAGAAGCTTTCCCCAACCAGTAAACTTCACTTACAGCCCATAAAGTTCACTTGGGCCTCACTCTGGGGATCCGGTCGGTTTTCTATTCTGAGCCACTCTTTGCATACCCATAGCCCTGGCTTCCAGCGCGAGGTGCCTCGCCAGGGCACTGAATGGTGCAAAAGTGGCTGCAGAGGCAGAAGTTTCGATTCCGAGAGTCTGAGGGAAGGTGACCGGGCTTAACTGTAAATCTCATTTACCTCAGCGACCAGTTTATTTCAAAAATAAAAATACACTTTGAAAGTTAACTGCTCCAAGCCACACAACAATTAGCCTGTTTTCCCTCTATCAAATTGCTCGAGGAAGCGAAAGACATCACAGCTACTCTCTGCGGGACAGTGCTTTCAGCTATCTGATCTTCAAACCGCCAGCTGCAATTTTTCCTCTGGTTTTGAGTCCTCTCACCTTTGGTGAGATGCAGAAAAACACCCTTGCCGCTCTAAACTCACCACAGGGCTAGGCACAGCGGATATCCTGAGCAGCCCCGCAACGTTTTAGGGTCAAGGGAGGGGACTGCTCAAGATAAGTCCGCTCCGCAGAGCCTGAGTCACTAACTGCGGTCGCGGTCCGGATGCCCTGCCCACACCCTCGCGTCACTTCAGAATTGGAAAGTTTCCCGTGAGCCCGCGGGCGCGGGAGGACTACGACTCCCGGCATGCTCCGCGGCTGACGGAATTAACCCTTCAGGGCCCGGAGACGCGCTGCCTTCGGTCCCCGCCCCTTACCCGGACCCTGCAGGGTGAGTTTTGGGGGACTGGGGAGGGCTTCTTTCCTTTAAGGCTTAGGGATATGCGTGCGTAAGATGGATGTATTATTTGCGGGAGGAATAATTTCTTATTTTCCAAAATTAAGACAATTTGCTGTAATGAGATTCAGAGGCTTTTTTGCAAATGGGAACCCAGCATCAATCTGAACCCCAGGGTCCAAGTGGAATCACTACTCTCTTCCTCAGATTGCTGCCTAAATCCTCTCCTTTTTTCCCAGAACAAAAGTAGCCAGCACCCCTTCCTCACACCCCCCACTTTGTCCCTTCTTCTCTGCCCCACCCCGCACCCCGCAAGGTTTTGTAACCTGGAGCCAGAGTCAGGGATGAGTACTCATGGAGCCCATAGGAGTTTCCATATCCTTTTGGATTACAGAATCTAGGCCTTTTGTCTCCTAGAGCGGCCCTTACCCCCAGGTGCCACCATTTTCAGCAGGCACCCTGCCTTTTGTCTGACTTGAATGATTGTGGGCTTGTGGAAGAAGATTCCTTCTTTGAAAGTATGGGTGTGGGTGGTGGGTGTTAAACCTGATTCTTAGCTGTACCCCCACCCCTAAATCAGTACTATATACAGGAGACAATGGAGAGCCTCACACTCCCCTATTACTATGCACAGTTTCAGGCCTAGACTGGGGGGCCCAGAGACTACAAGTACTGGGAATTATTAGACTATGGGGTCAGCTATCCCTGCCCCTCATTCATGGTCAGGGGGGCTGGACAGGCTGCTTGTTTTTTCACCTTTCACTATTTCCAGATCACCCTTTAAATGTTCCCACTTCACACAAACCTCTCCAGGCTCTCCCGCCTCCCCGACTCCCACCCCTCCCTGAGCTTTCTAGAGTCTAGAACTTCTGGCTTCACTTGTTTGCTTCACCCCTATCTCAGTGTCACTGGCAAGCATCCTATCCTTACCCCGGAGGTTAACTCCCTCATTCTGGGCAGTCTCTGGCTTACTCCCTCTGCCCCCAAAGGGAACAATATTCTGGTCATCTTTTAGGGAGGAGTGGGCAGAGGAAAGAAAACCTTGGGGCAGGAGTTCTGAACCATAGTAGACCAGGGGAGTGAGGACAGGCAGGCATATATCTCCTACCTCACCCTCACCACCGCCAACTGGCTCCCTGCCCCTGCCCCCGCCCCTTGACATCCCAGACTCCCTGGCTATTTAAACAGAGATGGGTGCCCCCATCAGCACACTGTCCTTTGGTCACCGGACATCATGCCTCCCAAGAAGGATGTTCCCGTGAAGAAACCAGCAGGGCCCTCCATCTCTAAGCCTGCTGCCAAGCCAGCAGCAGGGGCCCCTCCAGCCAAGACCAAGGCTGAGCCTGCTGTTCCCCAGGCGCCTGTGAAAACCCAGGAGCCCCCTGTGGATCTCTCCAAAGTGGTGGTGAGTCCCCAGAAAGCGACAGTGTGGAGAGAGTAATTCAGGGTCTGATTCTGCCTAGAGGATTAGGGAGTACATAGAAGGTAGGGATGAATGAGATTGGGGGTTCCCTGCAGTCCCCTATTGGGCTTATGATTCTGCTGTTGTCTTTACTGTCGTCTGTCCTTTTATCCTATGACATATGTGTACCATATGTACATACTTGCTGACCCCCTGGTGGAGGCAGGGACTGTGAGGTGGGGAACACCTGGGTTCTGGGGACAGTTTCAAGGTGAAGGCAAGGAGCTGCTGCCTGCTTCTGGCTGGCTATTCAATTCAAAAGGCCACAGATTTGAACCCCAGGAGGGGAGGCTGAAGAGGACAGGCTTGTTAGACAATCACAGCTGGGGGCCAGGGGTAAATTTAGCCTTTGTTCAGCCCCCAGTTATGTGAGGGATGCAGGGCCCAGGGCAGTGGAGGGAGGGAAACAGGTGGCATGGGATTAACCCTGTTCCCAGGAAACCCTCCCCACTATAATTCCTCCTCTTGGGATTCTCCCAAGGCCCAGAGCTAGGAATGGGACTGAGGTGGCTGGGCTCCCAGCTTGGTCCCTTTGGGCCCCTCCCCAGAAGTGGCTGCCAGCTGGTTGGGAGGAGTGCTGGAGAGGGATTGAATAAACCCTGTCATCTCTCCTCACCTGCTCTTTTCTTCCACAGATCGAGTTTAACAAGGACCAGCTGGAGGGTGAGGAGAAGCTGGTTCCTTTAGCCCACTGTCCGGTCCCAAGCAACCCTGCTCAGATCCCTTCTCTGTTCCCATAACTCCAGTCCCGACCTTGAAACCTCCCACACTAGTCCTTTTTCCAACTTTGTTGCACCCAGGTCTACCACACCGTTTCTGATCCTTCCTTGAGGGGGGGTGGAGAAATGGGCACCACTAATCAACACTGATCCCTCCTTACATCTCAGAGTTCAAGGAGGCCTTTGAGCTGTTTGACCGAGTAGGTGATGGCAAGATCCTGTACAGCCAGTGTGGGGATGTGATGAGGGCTCTGGGTCAGAACCCGACTAACGCTGAGGTGCTCAAGGTCCTGGGGAATCCCAAGAGTGATGGTAAGAGGAGCTTTGGAACAAGTGGGTATTCTTTTTTTTTTTTTTTTTGCAGGACCTCTGGGGGATCAAACCCAGGGTCTTATTCATGCTACCCAAGCATTCTACCACTGAGCTACATACTCAGTCATCAATTTGCAATGGTAGAATGTTGGTAAGGTGACAAAGAATGCTGGGGTGGACCTCAGGACTTCAAAAACTTAAACAAAGGGGCAGAAAAACATCCTGAATGCTGAAGGGGATGAAAGATGTGGTAGGGATGAGAGCTGGGTCCTGGGTGATACCACAATGACCTCTCTCTCACCTCTTTCTGACCTCCAGAGCTGAAGACCAGGCGTGTGGACTTTGAGACGTTCCTGCCCATGCTCCAAGCAGTGGCCAAGAACCGGGACCAAGGCACATATGAGGACTACTTGGAAGGGCTTCGGGTGTTTGACAAGGAGGGGAATGGCAAAGTGATGGGCGCAGAGCTCAGACATGTCCTCACCACCCTGGGTAAGGCAGGGACCAGAAATTGAGGAGAGAGTAGATCAGTAAGAAGGTTGGCAAGCTAGGCAGAGCCAGGGAGGGGATTATTATCTTGCAGGTCATAGACAGTAGATTGAGAAGGTCAAATCCATGAGGGCAGAATCTGAGGGACTTCTCAAGACTAAAATGCTTTCTAAAAGGGACAGAAAGAGAATGTGGTGGAAGCCCTAAAGTTCTAGCTTTGGAAGCAATACTTGTGCTCTGTGATTCCATTTAAGTCAATCCTTGGGGCTTCAATTTCCTGTCAAAGGTTTCACTGGGTCCTAGACACTGTGTTCAGGCTGGCGATATGGAAAGCAAGATGCAGGGTGGGAAGAGCTGGCCTGGTTAAGAGAGGGAGGAAAGGCAGGGGGTTCCAATGCTGTGTTTGGGATTCAGGAGAGAAGATGACTGAGGAGGAGGTGGAGACGGTTCTGGCAGGACACGAGGACAGTAATGGCTGCATCAACTATGAGGGTAAGGGTAGTCAGAGGCGCAGAGGGTCCAGGGGTGGAAGAGGAATGCCGGGTGGGAGCGGGGCATCCTGGAGTACCTACAGTTGGATGGATTATCCAAGGGTCTGCTTCTGAAGCCTTCTTGCCTGCTCTCTCTGCAGCCTTCCTGAAGCACATCCTAAGCGTCTGAGCTCTACAGGTAGGCCCTCCAGCCTCCCCAGCTCGGCTTGAGGGGCAAGACTCCTCTTCCCTCGGCCAGCACGAAAGCAGGGGAGTGCGTTTTCCTGTCCAATCACTGCGCAAGCGCCAGGGCTTGGCAACTTTCATTTTTTTCCACAGATCCTGTGGGGCCCGGACACTTGCCTTCCCTCTCCCAGGCAGACGGAGGCACGTTTCTGCCACTAGGCGGCCACCTATTGTGTCAAAATAAAGACATGGTTCCTTGCTTGGTCTCAGACTTGTTTTCTTCAGAGGAACGGGGTAGGAGTAAAGGGTGGGCCCTCTCCTCTCCCAAAGCTGACATCCTCGGATCTTTAGGGTGTTCGGAGAAGCGGACACTGTGCACTCCACCCCACCCCCTTGCGCGGCTTCTGCGCCCAGGTAGGGCTGCAGCGCAGAAGGGACCACAGCCGGCCCGCCCACCTCATTACAGATGCAGCATTGTCATCTGCATAAATCCGGCCCGGGGTTCCTATTGGCTGAATTCGAGGAGGGTGACGTCATTAGGACGTACTAAGACTAGGGTTGGCCTTGGAGTCGGAGCCATTACTGCAGGAAAAGGTCCCGCAGCGCTGAGCCGTCAAGATGGTGGGGCCCGAGGCCTGGGGATAAGCGGGATGTGGGGCGAGGAGGGGAGGCAGGGGTCGGGGGCAAAAGGGGCCTGAGGGCTTGAAAGGTTGGCGATGGGGCTGGAAAGTTTAGGGTCCAGTCCTGTGGGGAAGAGAGTCTCCAGCGTGAACAACAGGAGTTTGTGGGACTGGGATGTTCGCTTGTGGGACTGGAATTCAGATGCTGACCACTCCCTTCTTCTCCGAGCAGTGTGACTTCACGGAGGATCAGACCGCAGGTAGGCAGTCTCTGATCACAACTGAGGTCGCCCTTAGGGAGAGGGACACCCCCCTGGCACTTATCCTCTAACCCCAACCTGTCATCTTTCTCGCACTCCCCAGGAAAGTACCTCCTGGATTCCCTTCTCCCTTCCTCCTGCGTCCTCCATTTTCTTTTCTCATTCTTTCTTCCTTCCCCTTCCACTCTAGATCTGAGCCCCAAGCACTGGGTGAGTTTTAGGTGCTGTGGGTATGTGAAACAACTTGAGTTACCTAATGCCTGATGTATGTGAGATTTGGGGAGGGTGTATTAAGCTGTTTGTGCTCCTCTGTCCCTTAATCAGTGACTTCTGCTTCTTCTGTTGTCCTGTTGGCAACTGTCCTCCTCTCCCAGCTTGGATTTGTGAAGATTGCAAAGAGTGACCTAATATTTTTGTGAAGTTGGGGACTGGGAGAGTATGCTAAGGATTAACTGCAGCTCCACCCTCTGGAAGGTCTCTTTGTAGAGGAAGGATGGGAAGTGGCAGGCTAGAATGACCCCAGGCCACTGTTCTCACTTCCTTATAAGGTCTGGACCCAGATGGGGCGGTGGCAAATTCCTGCCCTGTGTAGTAGTAGTGAAGAGGCTGGGCCTGACCTGCTGTAGGCAGAGCGGGGTGTATATGTAATATTACCGTGCTGACAAGGTGGGGATGGGAGAAAGACTGTATTTTTAATTGGGACATTTGAGTTGGGAGAAGTAGATCGTTCTTAGCTGACTTGTGAGTGCAGCAGGGTAGTATCTGGTTTCCAGAGTGTGATCAAAGTTGACCAGGCAGCAGATCTCTGAAGTAGGATCTGAGCTGACCCCTCATTCCAAGTGCTCATGTTCATTTGAATCCTCAGAATTCAAGGAGGCCTTCCAGCTGTTTGACCGAACAGGTGATGGCAAGATCCTGTACAGCCAGTGTGGGGATGTGATGAGGGCTCTGGGCCAGAACCCCACCAACGCCGAGGTTCTCAAGGTCCTGGGGAACCCCAAGAGTGATGGTGAGCATCCTTATGAACAATTCAGTGTGGTGTAGTAGGTCCACAGTACTTCAGCTGAACTTTATTGCCATAGGACCCAGGCTCAACCAAATCTTGTCTTGATTAGTAAATCCCACAGAATTCCTCTTTGGATGGGAACTTCTGTTGTGGACCCCCATAATTCCCTCTCCTGGGGAATTTTGTGACTTCTCTGGCTGACACTTTTCCACTTCCCATATGGCAGAGATGAATGTAAAGGTGCTGGACTTTGAGCACTTCTTGCCCATGCTGCAGACTGTAGCCAAGAACAAGGACCAGGGAACCTATGAAGATTATGTTGAAGGTCTTCGGGTGTTTGACAAGGAAGGGAATGGTACTGTCATGGGCGCTGAAATCCGTCATGTCCTTGTCACACTGGGTAAGGCCCTGTGCCCTTGTCCTGGAACTAAGGTGCCACCCTGAGGTACTTCACTTCCCACCCAGATCCAAAAATGTACTTTCACCCTCTGTAGGTGAGAAGATGACAGAGGAAGAAGTGGAGATGCTGGTGGCAGGGCATGAGGACAGCAATGGTTGTATCAACTATGAAGGTGAGGGGTAAATTGGGGGCTTTCACAGTTAGCATATAGCGGGCATGTTATGGACAGCTTCTGGGGCTTTCCTTGTCCCTGGATTTGGGCTCCAAAAAGAGCCAGGAGGCAAGAGGCAGGGCCCAGCCCAGCCAGGAGTGGGGAGTTTGTGCAGGGGGCGGGGGCAGGGATAACGGGAAAGTAAGGGATAATGAAGGGCAAAGGAATGGGAAGTAAATGGAATGTCTGTTTCCCCACTGCCTGAACCCTTCACCCCATGTCTGTCTTGTCTTCACCATTTAATGTCTCTTCCTTCCTGCAGCGTTTGTGAGGCATATCCTGTCGGGGTGACGGGCCCGTGGGGCGGGTACGGCTCCTCCCAGCCTCTCCTTCTGTAGATGATCTCCCCCAGTGTTTCTTTTTCTTCCCAAACTGCTCTCTAGCCCTTGCCCTTACCCTACTACCATCTGACTTCTTTCTGGCATGTTTGTGCATGGAGCTGGCTAGGGAGGGGAGGGATTCCTCAAAGAGGAAGGCAGCTTGGGGGTATGGTACCTCCCACCTCTCTCCTAGAATGGTCTGAGATTTTGCTTATAGGGCCCTGGGTACTGGTGTCTGGGAACTCATACCAGCCTGTAGCTAATCTTGCTTTCGGGTAGTCCTTTGGCCCTGGAGCATGGAGAATTGGCATAGGTGGGTAGGCTGCCTGCCCCATTCTGCTGCTATAGCTGAACAGCCCTATCCCCATCCCTCTGCTGGGCAGCTTAGAGGTACCCTAACCCAAAACTCTATCCTCTCCTCCCTCCAGTGGCTGATAGTAGCTGTAGGTGTAGTTGAGAACCTTTCTGCCTCTGCTGTGTTCTTGCTGCTCAAGGTGGGGTGGGTGACTAACAGCTGGTGGGAGGGGAGCCAGGGCCAGAGAGAACTGGTTAGACTTAAGGTGGCTTTTCTGCAAACTGACCCCAAGGTTGGTTGCTGTGGGCATGATCCCTCTCATGCTACCTTCATGGTCTTGTAGTCTCCTGGTCCATGGTGTAACCCCTCCCCAGCCCTGTTACCTGGGCTCACCCCTCCTTTCATTTCCACAGAGCTTGTCCGGATGGTGCTGAATGGCTGAGGACATTGCTGGTATTCCCTGAGCCTGTGCCTTGCCCTGTATTTGTATGGTGACCCTGGAGGCTTCCTAGGCTCCCGTGTCAAAACACCTTTCCCACCTGGTCTTTCATGGATGATGTTTGCCATCAGCATTCACCAAATAAACCTGTTTTTTTGGCCCACATTTCAGTTCTACTTTTCTTCCTAAGCAGGGTTAAATGGGGAAAAGGTGAGATGGTGATGATTTCTGCCCTGAGACAGAGAGCCCAGAGCCCAAGAACAGTGGGCCAGAGTTTGGGGGAAAGTTGGAAAGAGCCTTGTACTGATATTGAAATGTTGCATGTTGCAAAGGCAACCCCCCCTGGGGATCAGGAAAGCCGTAGATCCCTAAATCCTTATTGGACCAAGGCTTTTTTTTTTTTTTTTTTTTTGCCTTTTTTTTTTCTGGCAGGGGAGGGAATCCTTCAGTTCCATCCCATATCAGGCTGAATCTTCTAGCCTTCAGGCTCCTTAAACCTATCCCCCACCCTTCCAAGCACGGAAGGCTTTTTGTGGGAGGAGCCTGGGATTGTTGACTAGAGCTAAAGCCAAGCCATGTTAGCACTTCCTGAGCCTATCCATCACACTGGGCTGGGGGCCAATAACAACAGAAGTGAGAGACTGCTTCCTCCCTAATAAGGGAAGGAATGAAGCTTCTACTTCTAAAGGATAAAGATACAAAATCTCTATGTTATGGGCATGTCCTTCCAAGTCTCAAGCAGCTATTTTTAGGGCAGGTGAGAGTCTCTGCTGCTACAGCAGTGCCCAGTCCTGACAGCTCGTCTGCCTTCAGTGGAGAACCGCACAGTGTCTGTAGGCCTTGTAGTTTGCAAAGTGCCTCTCCAGCCCCGTGAATGGTGAATGCCCCTGTGAGGGACTCTAGGAATGCTACCCCCAGCCCGATCCCCCTGCCTAACAGTCACAGGTAAGAGAACACAGAGGCATCCACAAGATGGAACTGAAAGCAAATTAATTTATAAAAAAAGAAAAAAGAAAAAAAAAAAAAAAAAAGAGAGAAAAAAGAAAAAAAAAAGGGAAGAAAAGAGAAAATTTACAGAAAACTTTGAACAGAAGAAAGGTGCCAAGATGCACAGGAAGAGAAACATGGGGACATGAGGAACAAAGGGCCTGGTAGGAGGAACCAAGAACTGGTGTAGAGCCTGGAATCCCACTTGCCTCCATGTCAAGGGGCAGGGGGAGGAGGGGGCACCTGGAATGGGGAGGCACTGGAATCCAGGGAGCAAAGCCAAGCTGTGATGTTCCCAAACCTGGGTCCTCATCTGGAGAAACCCTATTAGTGAGGTCTGCCAGTCTTGGTGGGAGAGGGCAGAGTTTGGGAGTGCCCCAGCCAAGTCTTAAGAAGGAGGTGCTTAAGTGCTTTTCGAAATCTTCAGGTTTTAAAAAGTTCCCATTGTCTTACAGCTCCCCCTTCCATACCTCGTAGAAGCTTATGGATACAACTTGGAGAAGGGAGGAAGAACAGCTCCTAGCGCCCTTTCTTCTTCTCTTACCTACCACAGGAGTCCCCCCCAAAATTATTTACCCACCAAATACACATACGCTGACATCAACTAAGCAGGTGACTTTTAAAACAAACACGAAACTGACATTCAGAGGGAAAGGGATCAGTGGCTGAGTTAGGGCGGCCTAATCAGCCACACTGAGGAAGCAGGAGAGAATGGGTACGAATGATCAGGCAGTGGGTGAGGGGAGCTGACTCAGTTATTCCCAAGGGGCTTGGGGCGAAAGGTTTGGAACCTTACTCCATCCCCAGAGCTCCCCTTAGAACCATAATTTCCCTTTCTTAAAACTTACCCTCCCCCCTCAAAAAAGTGTAAAAGTTGGTTGTTTTTTAGTGAGCTAAAGGGAGCTCCAATGTGGCTTTTTAAAATCTTCCTTTTGAAGGGCTTAATTTTTTTTTTATCTGTAAAAAAATGCAGTAGTTTTGAGGGGGGTGCACCCTTAGAAGTGGTTAAGTAGAACCTTGTATAAACACCCTCCCCCGGCCCTTCCTTCTTTGAGGGCAGCAATCCCATCCCATCCTCTCTCCCAGACATTAGAAACATCTTTTAAACAGAAGTCCTTGAATAATCCAATATAAAAGTACATGCCTCTGCTGGGCATGGAAGGGGCTGTGGAGGGGCAGGAGGAGCTTTCCTTACGTAGTGATGAACTCTCCAGCTGGGGAAGGGTCCCAGTGGGGAAGGGCTGTTCCTGGAACTGTGATCTCCGTGGGGGGCAAGGGGGAGAGATGTCTGGCTGGATCCTCACTGTGGAGGTGGTACAGGGGTGACTGTCCCTGGACTTGGGGCCGTGGGGTCTGGAGGCAGGGGAGTGCCTGGGTCTGTGGAGAAAAGGAAGAGGAATCAGTTGGGATAAGCAGTTGAGAGGCATATAGACCCAGGTTCCACATACAACCAACCAGGCAGGGCATGCAGTGGGTGGGTAGATGAATGAGGTACCCACAGTGTACAACTTCCTTTTCCCAAAACCCTCTTCTACCTCACCATTGGAAACACTGATAATACCCTAAGTCATCTTCTTGCCCCAAAAGGAACTCTAAATGGGGCATTGAATGTGATGGGAACAAGCCAAGGGATGCTAATCATCATGCAAACAGACAGCTGTGTTTCAAGTTTACGACTGAGATGCTCTCTGCCACAGGACTCCTCCGTGACCCACCAGTGAAAGGCCCCAACGTCATCCCAGAGTTGGCAGCTGCCAGGTTGGGGAATGGTAGAGGACAGCCAGAAAGGCCCTTCCTCCTGCATTCTAATTTTACCAGAATATTCAAAAAAAGATTGTGGAAATTCTAGTACCTGACCCCTTCCGCACCAACCCTCCCTCCCTCCATGTGGACCCCTCTCCCTCACCCTTCTCCCCTCTTAGCCCCTTCTCACCTGGCAGTGGGCTGGCACTGGGCAGGAGGTTGCCCTGAACAGCTGCCACAATGGCAGGGCTCTGGGCTGCGGCGGATCCGAGCCCCGGCCCGAGAGGCAAGGAAGATGGCATGGTGGTGGTCGCCGGCAGGTTAGGATGTAGAGGGTTCGCCATGGACACAGGCAGGTTAGGTGGGGGAAGTGTGCCCGGGGCGAACGGGAGATGGTGATGATGCCCATGCAGGTTAGGAGGAGGGGGAAGGTTAATACTGATGGAGTCAGCTAGACTACCAAATGGGATGATGGATGGAGCAGGAGGAGGAGGAGGCGGCATGCCAAAAGGCAAACCCAAAGGAGCATTACCCGCCACGCCTGGGTGCCCGCTGCCTGGCACTGCCCCTGGCATCATTGAGGGAGGAGTTTGTTGGTTGGGGAACGGTGAGGGGCCTGGCAATGAAGAGAGAGGAAGGTTAGAGGAGTAAAATCTCACTCACCTATTCACTTTCACAACAAGGACACTCTAGCCACTGCTTGGTGCCACGTTCCATTTTCCTGACACTAGAATAAAGGGTAACTCTTAGAACAAAATTCCAAAGGTCTGGGTTTGGGGAGAAATGCCTGCTGGCTTAAGGACATAATAGAAGTAGGACCATCTACAGGAAAAAGCTAATCCATTATCTCTAGGCCCATCATGTCTTCCCTCTGTGGGCAACTGTAATGTTCACCTGGCTCCTGGTGAGCCAGTTCCCAAACCTACCACTTACCATGGGGTCCAGGGGGGGGTACCCCTGGTGGGACTGCCCCAGGCTGGGGGGCTCCAGTTGGTTGTGGCTGCTGTGGCCCTGCTGTTGGTCCTGCCTGCCCAATCTGTTCAGAAGGACCCAAGCTTCCAGGAGGGGCCCCACTGCCAGCAGGAGCAGGGGCCACAGAGGCTGAAGCCACAGCTAGGCCATGAACTGTGGGTGGCCCAGCAGCCCCTGAGGGGGGTATGGGCTGGGAGCCTGGAGGCAGGGTTGGTGGTGGCTGCTGCTGCTGTTGGTGCATCTGCTGGAAGTGCTGCTGCCGTGCCCTCATCTCCGCATACTTCAGCTGCTCCATGTGGAAGGCTTGTCGGTCTGCTAGGAGCTGCTGCCTCTGATACTCCAGCTACCAGTGGCAATTCAATGTTGTTATTGGCTTTTCATATGACCCCTAGGCAAATGTCTCACCCTCTGCTTTCTCAAAGACCCCATCTCCATGCTGGTGCTTCCCCAAATCTAACCCTTGTGCTTCCTCTGTCCCTCCCCATTTCACCTCCTATAAATTCCATGACCTTTTTTGTCTCCTTGCTGCCCACATCACTTCTTACTGCATTCTAGTCACTCTGGTGGTAGCCCTGGCTCATTTCAGCTCCCAAACTTTTAACTTACTATTACCTTGATTTGGAAAATGTTTCCAGTTCTTGTCAACTGAAGTTCTTTTCTTCCTCCAAAATTGGCTAGAAACTTACTATTTTTAAGAAGCCATCCGAGCTCAATTCACTAGCCTCTGAGCTTTGACTTTATTCTGTGATTTCTCAGGCTTATATACTGTATACGAAACCTCTCAATTTGAACTGGCCAGATACTTTAAGTATTGTTAACTGTTTCAGATGTCTCCCTATCGTACATTTGATGTCTCCAACTAAAATTCTGAGGGTAGGATCCCTATCTTCTATTTCTTTTAAAGTCCTTTCAGAAACAAATTGGTTCAATAACCTGTCTGGCCCATTCCCTTTCCAAGTTCATGTTTTGAATCTGAAATCCCCAACCTCTCATCATCTCTCCAACCCATTCAATAACTTGACAAAGATTTATTGAGTCTACTATGGGGCAAACCAAACTCTGTTCTAGGACCTGGAGATGCAGTAACCAAAAAGCCTGACTGGCATCTCTGTTCCATGGAGCTGACTTTTGTAGGACCTCAGTCTACAGCTTCATGTATGAGGCCACTTTTCCTTGATTGCCTGAGACTGGCTCTCTCTGCCTTGACCTGCTGCTCTCCCTTTTGCTTTAGAGCCTTGTCATTCTCAGGCTTTCTACCCTACTGTTTCTCCCTCTCCCTCTCCCTCTCCCTCTCTCCTCCTTTTTCTCTCTCACACCCAGTTCAGTCTCTAGATGTGGTTCCAAGCTCCTGATGACCCCCTAGGGGAGGCTACTCACTGCTTCCCGCTCCCGGTCCATTATTGTCTCCAGCTCCTCAAAGTGTCGAAGTTTGATCTCCAGTTTTTTCATCTGGGTCTCCACCA